TAACAATTGTTCACCTAAAAAACATAAATGCATTTACAATGCATTGTTCTAAAGTGTTTTAGAGCACAGCTAACTGTTTCCGTGTGATGGAGTGGTGTCATTCGATGACAGTGGAGGAACTTGGATTTGTTTAGAGAGTACCACGCACCCGAACTTTAAAATATTGCATTGTATTGTTGTGTATAGTTACGATTTTGTTTTCGATGACCATGGTTCATTTACTGAGTTGCCCTAATCATAGTCCATATTGTAGCATGAATGTTATGACCTTATTGATTACATCTCAATTATAACGTGATTATGGTGTTTTTGTGTTTTAAATGATAATGATTAATAAGCCAATGATAATACTATATGATATTCCCTCTGTATGTGTTATTCATTAGTATTTGCTGAGTAACTATGACTAAGCAGGTTTGTAAGAAACCCAGTACTGGAAAGTCACAAATAGATAAAAAGTAATAAGGGACCAGGTGCAGCAGGTAAACAAGTGTTAGGCAGAGGAGCAAGGATGGTTGCGACTGAGTTTGCTGAAGTTACAAGGACAATAGCTTGTCAAGACTCCCCAGAATAACATATCAGAAAAACAGCCACTAGATGGCAGCAGAGAAGAAGAAATTCACCATCAGAACAAGCCACAAATGGGTGTGGTCAGTGAACGCAGAGGAGGAGTAGGAGTAGGATTGAGTAGAACACTACTGATAGGTGGAGACTGAGGAGAATATAAGGCGGTGTTCACTGACTGCGTATTGAGTTTCAACCTGTTTCCTGCCAGGATGTAACTCAGGTTTTTTACTGGAATAAAAAGTCTATTGCACTGATTTCCAGCAGACTATAGAGACGTTGTTGACTACATGTTATTTTATCATGAATATTTTGGCCAGCTATTGGCTATTTTGACTAGTTATTCAAAGTGGTGGACGACGTGGTTTGGGACGTTAGCTGGCCTTGGCCCAAACTTTGTCCCCCGTCAGTATTTATCCCACCAAAGAAGTGTTGCAAAGATTTAAATGTAAAATTGATTATAACTGTGATTTTTGCAATTTAAAAAGAAACTGTATTTCATTTTTTATACCACTCTGGATTCTGGAAAGATTTGGAACATTTTATCAACAGAAAACAGGTAAGAGTACATTAATTAATGTATTTGATGTCATGTTATATTTTGTACTTCATGGTCCAGACAATATTAACTATTGTGCAGCTCCTCATCATACTTGGAAAATTCCACATATACAAATCAAAATGGACTGGATCCAAACCCTGCTTCGATTTACAGTTGAACTGAAACACTACTGCACCTCCAATAGAAAAATTATAAAGCAATAAAATGTCTTAATATTCTAGAAGAACTGAATTTAATTTGAGCTTCTGGCAATGTAAAATGTAATTGATTATCTGTGTCTTTTGAGCTATGCATCAATAAAAATTTTTATCAAAAAGTAACTACGCACCCAAATTCTGCTAGCGCCCTCCCAGCATATTTAAAAGATGCAGCAGCGCTCTCCTGCGGGGTTTTATCACTGGACAACTGCCAAGTGTTCACACACAACATGATAATGCGAGTAAACACAACTCGCCATTACTACAGCTGTATGAAATTTAGCTGTGATTAAATAGCAATAAACGGATCACACCGATCCAGAAATAACTACAACATAATGCCGTTTTGTCAAACATATGAATTCATGCTTTTTCAGGTCTGTCAGCAAAACAGCAGGACAACAACTTCTAAAATATTTGTTTTCTGAATTGGAGTTCGGATCGATCATGCTATGCTAACTTTTTCACAGTAAAGTACAACGATAGCTGGAACAAAGTAAGACATGTTTTCTGAACTCATCAGGTAGTTTAACTTCCTCGCTTTCTTTTCTCCAGGTAATGTCCAGTTTTGTCCGTTTTTATATAAATATGAAGTCAGTAGTGCCAACCGACGCTAACAACAAAAGTGAAACTGGATGTGCATGGAAGCTAGCTGCCAAGAAATGCGAGTGTTGTAATCCCAAAAACCTAATTTAATAAAAACAGTTAACTTTGAGCTTCTCCCGCGAGTGAACAGCCTAGTTGTCAGAGCATAATACAGGCCAACTACGGGTGTTTGTGTTCAAAAACTGCGTCGCTGCTCCCCATACACTTCCCTGTTCTTTAGCAGCTCTCCGTCGGCCAGCGGATTGTCATTAAACCGCTCGCCAGATCCTCTCCAAACATTGATAATGCCTCAACCGCCTCAAATAAATCAGGGTGGGAAACACCTACTGTAGAGGTTATCCAGCCTGATTTTTGCCTTTCATTAAGGCGAGGGTGTCAGCATCTGTGACTGAAGTAAAATTAATTAATGATTTTGCTGAAGGTTGCAGTACATAACGTGAGGCTACACGCTGCAACAGCTCGCATGAGTCTCAGTTATTGATGACTGTATAAGACATAAGCATATTAGCAAGTTATGGCATAAGAGAGAAAAGGCTTAATAGCCAATGGTAACTTACATGGTCATCAACATCCTTTATGCGTCATGGTCTACGATGTCTTTTTTTTAATATATATTATTTCAACAACCCGAAACATGGCTGCCACTGAAATACTTCCAGGTCACTGCACTCAGTTAGAAACCTTCCTAAGCAATGCAGCCTAAAAGTTGACGAATGCCCAAAAGCCAAAAATATTCAGACTTACAAAACTGTGCGTGCGCATACTACACAAGTTCCCTTTATAAATAAACTTGAAATGTGGCGCATGTGAGGGACCCTTCAAACGCCCATAGTTGCCTACAATTGGTCAGTGAAACACCGCTCATTAATATTAATATGTCCTGACTGCAGGAAGAAAAGGAGGCAAAATCTGTGACACTGACGTCCCTTTTAAAACTTGTGCATCGGTGGAAATGGGGCCACCGAAGCTCCACCCCTTTATAACCGATCTTGATTAGTTACGCCACAAGAACAAGTTTCTTCCCGATGGCAGGGGGCTTCCACTGTCACTGACTCTCATGCCCCCATCCACAAACACACTCCTGACCCCAGACTTTACAATAACGCTCAATTGTGCTTTACGCTCATGTTGTGAACTTTTGCACATATTTGTCAGCTTTGTATTATTGTAGTTTTTGTATAGTTGTACATTTTTTGATCTCCTTTTTATATATTAATATTTCTATGTATGTTCATGTGTACTGTGAGCTCCAATTCATACCAAGGCAAATTCTTCGTATTTGAAAATGTACCTGGCAATAAACCCAATTCTGATTCTGGTATCGCGTAACATGAAGACTTCAGTCTCTCTTCAGGTAGGACTCTTATATCACAAAACTTGTCTTTGTAAAGAGAGAAACTGACAGGATAAAGTCGCTAACCTGCCTGTCAGCTCGCTCTGTTTCAGTGCATTTACCACAAATACAAGGTCCCTGTTTTCTACACTGTTAACTTGACAGTCCCCACATGTTACAGTGTTACAGTGCAGCGGAAACGTCAGATTCTATTTTCTCTGGGGGGGAGAGGTAGTTCGTCCAAAAGTTGGCCGCTGTATTTAAACCCTACGTGGGTTAGGGAGCTCGATTTGGCTGTGAGGGCGACTCCGACCAGAGTTCACTCCATGTCGGAGTGGAGGCTGCGACGGTCTAGTTTCGGAAAAGGCCCTAAAAGTCTCCAAAAAGGACATGTTTCAGTCCAGATCCCAGACTGGATCAACATGTGACATCACGCTGACCTCACTCTGACATCACTGATCAGTAGTAATCTATAGTGAGTGTTTAGACTGGGTGTGAGAGTCAGTAAGAGTGAAGAAGAAGCTGTCAAGGCATCTGCTTGTTATCATCTGTCCTCCAGCAGCTTCAGGGTCAGACTGAGGTCTCTAGTTCTCAGCAGGTCTTCCTTCATCTCTGTGTGGTCTCTGTAAAACTGGTCCTATTGGTCAGAATGATCAGAGCCGTTCTGATACACGTGGACCGTCTTTATGGTTTCAGCTCCACTCTGATGTCCTCAGGGAGGTGGGCTGTGGTCTTGAAGGGCAGCAGGACAGACTCCGCCCCCTCCTCCACCTCTACCTGACAGACTGAGCGGACACAAAGCGCTTTAAATCAGACCACATGAAACTGCATCAATTAGAATACTTCGATAATAATCAATATTAATAGATGAAACGCAAACAAATGTTTAAAGTGTAATTTAAAGTTTTGTAAATAAATGTTGACTCTTGTTTGTAAATAAAATGCTTTGCTCTCTGTGTGAATAAAAGAGCATCAGTCAGTTGTGACTTATATCCTGGCTATTATTTGACATTTACCAGTGTGTCATAAAAAGAGTAAGTACAAACAGTTTGTTAGGCCAACAACATGTCTTTAGAGTTTGCACTAAAGACAGTTCTGTGTTCACAAACATTTGTAGTTGCAGGGAGAGTCAGGGCATCACAGAGAGGTCACAAGTAACATTTGGATAACTAAATACATTTGCGCTGTGGCTAGCTATATCTAGCAGGTTATATCCAATAGCATAGTTTTTATGGTAGGTTTTCTCTCATACATCCCTGATGATAATAATAACTTTATTTGTATAGAACTTTTCAAAACCAAGTTACAAAGTGCTGTACAGTATAATAGTGGAAGAAAATATTACAGAAATCTGTCAGTGCTCAGAGTGTGATTAGAAAGACGAAAGGGGAGCGTATTTTAACACAAAGGGGTAAATAAAACATTGTTTGTATTAGGTAAAAGTCAATCAGATGAATGTTTGGAATGTAAAACCATAGAAAGTGTAGAACTGTTTGTTGGACATATGGTGATGAGATGATGAGGCTAAATCAAAAGATAAGTCAGACACAAGGAAGGAAATTGAACCGTGAAGGTTTATAAGGAACATATCGGAATAATATTAGAGAAATTACTTATTTTAAATATATGATAAAGTGAAGTCCCATCAAACGTAGTAAACGCAGCTACAGTAGGTGGCGAATGCACCTGGCAAGAAGGTAGATTGTGGACTAGAACAACTTCCGGTTCAAGCGGGGATCGAGGAAACGACAAAGAAGAGCGCCGAGTGCTTTGACGGCTCCGACAGTCAGAGACCAGGACCGAGAGCGGGATGGAGGAGGACAACCAGGACCCGGAGCCCAGGAGCAACAACGTCCCCGGAGGACAAACAGCAGGCTCGAGCTCTGATAGCACCGATGTTCAGGTCAGTGTTCATGAACACAGCTAGCAGCTAACAAGAAGCTAACGTGGCGTTAGCTCGGCCTGGTTCCGACACGTAGCTTCATATTGACTGTAAACAAGATGTAATGTAGCAGGATTCAACAGGGAGCCATCAGAACCCCGTATCTCTACAGAACCCACACTTAATGTGACGGTCGGAACCGGAGAGGAGGAGGAGGAGGAGGAGGAGGAGGGTGTTAGCCTGGGTGTTAGCATGCTAGCTAGCTCAGACTGGACAAAGCTGAAGTTTACTGACAGTTAAGGGAAACTTACTGTTCGACCGATCCTCCGTGTTCTGCTCTTCTCACTGTTGTGAAAGCTGTTGGGTGTTTTAGATAGTTGCCATTTGAGATTTGTGAAATCTTTACTCTGTTTCCACCAGCTGGAAAACAGAAACATGTGGTAACTACCACCTACTTCATGGCTCTTGTGGTGGGACAGAATTGCGTACAAACAGTGGGAGTGCTGATGACACAGTCGATAAGACACGTGCCTTTGGTGTGAGAGACCCAGGACCAAGACACTTAACCACTAGTTGCTCCAGAGGCGTGCACCTCTGACATGTATAGCAACTGTAAGTCGCTTTGGATAAAAGCGTCAGCTAAATGAATAAATGTATAAAGGATTGTTTGTTAAGCTACAGTATTTTTCAGTTAACCCTTCAATACCTTGGGTGTTTCTAAAATCTGATCGACTGATCTGGTGCATCACGACAGATAACATTAAACTCACTGCAAAGAGTTAGGCCTACTGATGATGATATCAGATGATATCAGCGTTGTGCCAGTAGAAATGATCCCGTGAGCAAGACACACAGTAATTGTTCGTGTGCTGGTGTTTGTTAAACGGAGAGAATCGTGCTGCTCTGCACTGAGAACTGTGAGACTTTATAGTTGGCCTACCAACACAGTGCACATGTGCAGACACAAACTCCATCAAAAGTCTCTACAGCTGTTGACAGCTGACCCAGCTGTGATCAGCTGCCGCCATCATCAGAGGAAAGGACGTCTCATGTCTCTAAAAACATATTTCCTAGTTCCTTCTCTCCTCGCTTGGTTTCCTTGGAAAAGACGCAAGTGAGGGAAACGTGGATGCAATTAAGAGACTTGAAGCACCCCTTGTTGATGTAACAGCATCTACTTTAGCATTAATGACTCAAAATTATCTGATTCATCTGTGACAAACCTTTCATATAGGGACAACAAACCCAGAATAAAGTGCAGTGGCACTGGGGCTGATAATGTGCAATTAATAAAACTATTTACAGTTAATCATAAAACACAGGGATAGATGTTATCTGGTTTACGCCAAGCAGACACGGTAGAAATCTTCCATTACGAAGCGACACTAAACGCAACAATACAGATGTCACACACAACGTAAGTTTCGGTTACTATCCACATGTGGCACACTTCAAAACTGAATTACGGGTAAGTTTATTAAACGCGGCGACTTTATGAAACGTACTGCTGATGGAGAAAGTCAGCAGAGACACATAAAAGGAGAGAGAGACAGAAAGAGGCGGAGCCAACCGGCGTGTTTGCAGAGACCAAAGGTGCAGGTTAGGTGTGTGAGTGTGGGGAGGAGCAGATTCGAGTAGTATAGTAGATGCACTGTCTAAATAAGAGCTAACGGTCCAGTGAGCGGGTGGGTTGCAGTTCTGTCTCTCTTGTGTCGCGTCTCAGTTTCAGAACCATTACAGACTTGGTTACTCTACAGTTCTTTATTTGTGAAGTGTCTCAAATACACTGCAGACGGGAGTCTCTGTTAACAGTGACAGATCAATAATGTCACGGCAAACATAATCGGACATTGAAGCAGCAAAACTAAAAACTGTACTTCACACGACAGAGGAAACTCACCTGAGGAAAACTAATCCAGCTTTTAGCTTCTAAAATATTTTTTTTACTCTATGCAGCCCGACCAATATGGGATTTTTAAGACTTATACCAATTTCGATGATCGAGCATTTTAATATCCAAGGTGCCGATATTCGCATTTCCCTTCTTTTTTTCCAGAAACAATAACATAAACATAACATTTATGAGACCAAACTAAGCAGAAAGACACAAAGCAGGAAAAAAAGTACAATAAAAACTATTAAATTTTGATAAATAAGATTCAAATGTTTAAAACTACTAAAAAGATAAAAAATCCATTACAAACTACAGAGTAGCAATGTGCAGCGTTAGAGAATATTTAGCAGTGATGAACTGATGTGAACACAGCTACTCTACATCGTTGGTTCTGCATGCTCTGGTAGACTCCGATCAGCTGATTGTGTTGTGGTGCATTTGTGGAGGTGTTGTTATGAAGGGATTTGCAGAGCGCCCTCTTGTGGGCAAACTATGCAACACTCGTGACATGAGTGAAAGATCCTACTGTTTCTTTAATCATCATTAATCAGCTGTTATAAACACCAATAATGATTTATCTGCAATTAGCTCAAATCTGCCGATAATATTGGTAATTTAATATTATCTATTTCCTGTGTGTGAGGTTCACTCATTAATATTAATACATACTGACGGCATGAAGAGAAGGACGGCAAATTCTGACAGAAAAGCTTAAAAAAGTAATTTAACCCAGCGCGACACTGTCGTTTGTTTTGTTGAGGTTCACTCAGAAAAATGATGTTGTTTGGTGGGTAAAACGTGCGCACAGATTCAACGCTTGTGCACCAGAGGAAAGGCGGCACCGGAGCTCAACCCCCCTTGATTACTGCAGGAAAGCAATCCTAGCTAGTCACGTGGTGCGGAGGGACAAATTTGCAAGACGCACAGGATGACCCAGGTTAATAATTTTAATTCCCTTGTTTGAAAAGAGAGTAAACCAAATCCACTTGTGCTTAAACATAAATTTAGTCTACACACAGTCTTAAGGAGGCTGCCAGTGAGTTAAAAGAAATAGGACCTTAGCGGTACACTGAAAGATTTATTGTTTTATTTTTCCATACCGTGTTTTTACGTGTAACATCCACACGCTGGCGCACATTGTTTGGCGCAAATGACACGTGATGTGACTATACTCGTATTTGCTCAACTGAGGCAATTTAAATATAATTTGTCCTCCTGTTCACCTTATTTATGAGAATAAATTGCATTGCATGCAAGTATTAATTAAAGAGGTGGTATTATACTCATTTTCAGGTTCAAAATCCTGTTTAGAGGTTGTACCAGAACAGGTTTACGTGGTTACACCTTATTTTTTGTCATTCTGCACATTGCTGCAGCTCCTCTTTTCACCCTGTGTTGAAGGCTTCGTTTTAGCTGTGGAGTGATACGTCTTGCTTTCTAAATGATCTCTGTTGGGAGTTGCACATGCACAGTTCCTTAAGGACTACTAGCCAATCAGAAGCAGAGATAGGATAGTCAGCGAAAAGACGGTAAACTGCTTCGATTCAGCTGTAGGCTACATGTTGCCGACCAGCTTGGCAGTTAATAATCTGTAACAAAAGTATCTTTCATCCATAAAGTTTTAACTGAGCTCTGTCTCTACATCACAGTAACAACTTTATGTCCACTGACTGCCTGTGCTAGTGTTTGGAAGGGAGAGTAGAGCTGTGCTGCATCTCTGTGAAAATAAAGTTGAAGTAAGGCTTGACTACAAACGAGCGGTTTTCAAGCTGTTCAGAGCAGAGTTTTCTGTGGGAGACGAGAACTCCCTTTGGGCTGGACTTTGGGCTTTTTCACTTTGCAAACCTGTTACATGCACAAAACAGATATATTGTCTTTTGGGTATTATTGTCTTTACACTTGTTAAAGCACTTTTTAACTTGTTTTTGAAAAGTGCTCTACAAATAAAGATTATTATTATTATATATAACTCTATAATGGAGAGGGAAAAAGCCAAAAAGCATAATAACACCTCTTTTAATATTATTCCTGATGAAACTGTGCAACATATTTGAGGTGTTCTATTGTTAAAAACTGGAATCTCCATTTGTGTGTATTTTGGGTCCACTGCAAATTTTGTTTTGTTTTTTAATTGCGCTTTTCAGGGAAAATAAATTAAACAGATGTTTGTTCGAAAAAGGCTTTCATCTGTTTTGCAAATTAACTTTTTAAGATTTTAAGTTAGGTTTTATTGGTCTGTGATGCTCAGAGGTAATATTGCAATATTGTATTTTACACAATAGTATACATTTCAATGTGTAAACCTTTCTTGCCATGTGAGTCGCTTTTTCTCATTACTCCAATTTATGTGCGTACGCATGGCTCAGCTCTGTGAAAATTCTGTGAGTTCAACATGGCATCAGGTGAGCCACATGCCAGCTTGTTAATGACGTAGCTTTTCAAACAACCAAAACCAGTTAATTGTTGCTTTATCTGGTCCCTGATTGTCAAATACCCACCGTGTCCACGTCTTGTAACGCAGTAACAAGTTTACCAAGTGAAGATTGTGTGAAACATGCCTTCATAAGACGGCAGCTACCCCCTTTTTGTCCAGTATTAAGCTAGTCCAGCCACTAAAGCACTTGTTTTTGCCCATGTTGGGCTCAGATTGTTTGACATTATGGAAAAGATCCCTATATCAATCGAGCGTTTATTAAGGACACACACCTGGTCCAAAAGACATAAATACAATACAAAACAGACAAACACAAAACAGTGAAGTTCCTATAGAGGTCTATGCCCCTCTGTGGACACACCCCTGCATTTGGTTGCTCGCTACACCATGACATCTCACTCACTATCTTTCTCTCTGTATGTCTCTGCTATAGAAATGGAGAAGAAGAGAGGGACTCAAACATCACCGCTGTCTACACTGTGAGAAATCCTTCACAACATCTGTATCTTTAAAGATTCATCAGAGAGTTCACACTGGAGAGAAACCGTACAGCTGTGACCAGTGTGGGAAAACGTTCAGTGTATCAAGTAATTTAAAAACCCACAAACGTATTCACACTGGAGAGAAACCTTATAGGTGTGACCACTGTGGGAAAGCTTTCACTACATCAGGTGAACTAAAAAACCATGAACGTGTATACACTGGAGAGAAACTGTACAACTGTGACCAGTGTGGGAAAGCTTTTACGCAATCAGGTGAACTAAAAATCCACCAACGTGTTCACACTGGAGAAAAACCGTACAGCTGTGACCAGTGTGGGAAAGCTTTTTCTACAGCAGGGAACCTACAAAGACACAGACATGTTCATACTAAAGGAAAACCATACAGGTGTGACCAATGTGAGAAAGCTTTTACTCAGTCAGGTGACCTAAAAATCCACCAACGTGTTCACACTGGAGAGAAACCATACAGCTGTGACCAGTGTGGGAAAACATTCAATGTATCGAGTAACTTAAAAAAACACAAACGTATTCACACTGGAGAGAAACCGTACAGGTGTGACCAGTGTGGGAAAGCTTTCACTACATCCGGTGAACTAAAAATCCACCAACGTGTTCACACTGGAGAGAAACCGTACAGGTGTGACCAGTGTGGGAAAACGTTCACCATCTCAAGTAACTTAATAGTTCACAAATGCATTCACACAGGCGAAAAACTATACTGGTGTGAACAATGTGGCAAAACTTTCACTACATCAAGTAAATTAAAAGCCCACCAACGTATTCACACCGGAGAAAAACCATATGGATGTGAACAATGTGGTAAAGTTTTCACTACATCAGGTTGCCTGGAAAAGCACCGACATGTTCACACTAGAGAGAAACTGAACTGGTGTGACCAATGTGGGAAAATGTTGGCATGGAGTACTTCCCTTAAACGTCACCAACGCATTCACGCTGCTTTGCTTTGAACAGTTTTCAGTACTAAGCAAGCTGTTTCCTCCTGCCCCCTTCTCCTGATAGCATACTGCGCTGTTGAGCCACAACAAATTACCGTGAGGGAAATTACTTTACCGCGACAGCCCTAGTGTTTTATTCAGAGCTTGTCTACAAACTGAGGATAAACAACAGTAACTTTAAATATTTAGTAGCATGTTTGTTATTGTAGATGTGACTACATACTGTCCTGCTCATCCTCTACTCACAATAATGGTCTGAAACTACAGCATGTTTGCTGGTTTATGTTTTTCAAGTGACAATGTAGCAGTCTGCAGCTATTTTCATTTATTTTCCCATTGCTTTGGCCAGATCTGCAATACTCTGGTTCTTGGTTAGGGATCATTTAGAGCACTTTGTTGTACAGAGAGTGTTGCTCTAACTCCTCAGCAGGGATTGAGTGCAGCTGGGTAATTCCCTCTGGGCCAATCAGGGTGTGCTGACGTCCATTCTGGAAGGCATAAGAAGAGGGGCGTACCTGCGCACTGAAGCATTGCGTCTTTTTTCTTGCGTCTGCGTCTTTTTGAAGCATCCTGAAACCTGTATAATGTGCGCGGAACTCACTCCACATACAGACGTCAGCCTATAGCTCTGTCCTTTGGGACCTGCTGAGATCGCTTTTGCTGTCTCTTTTGTCTACCATGGTAAGAAATGGGTTCAGAGTGGACATATAGACCATGGCACCACTATTTGTTGTTGTTGCTTTCATTTAAAACCCCTTGCCCATTCATTCTTTTTGTTTTTGTTTTATTGTAGTATTTTAGTGTCCAGTTTTGTTTTTGGGGTTGTTGCTTTGGGAGTCTTTACCATGTATGAGAAACAACCTCATGTCAAACGATTCACCTGATTATGACAATGACTACATTTATTATTTTGACCAAACTGCTTTAATAAAATATTTTTTGATGCCCTAGCTTGCTCAATACTCAGGAATGTCTCTGTTCTACAGCTACAACAGCTAAAGCGCATTTCTTTTGTCTAATAATTATGGTTAAGGTAAGAGTTATTCATTGATGTTCTGACAGTTCATTTTCTTTACCTAAATTGACCAGGGGATGGCTGAAAGGGGAACTGTAAATTAAACAAATTGATTTTACCTTACTTACCGTAAAACGTCAGTTAATAGCCCCAAATAGCCGCCTGCCCCGTTTACTGGCCTGGTGTGGGAACACATTTTGACAAATAAACGCAGGTCTCCATTAAACGCCTGGTCTGAATTTAATCTAAGTTTTTTGGATGTATAAAACCTCTTAAATCCCACGGGGTCACTGCTTCTGAGCTGCGTAGATCGTTAATACAAATATTAGGCTAATGTTTAGCCTAAACGTATGATCAATATGTCAGTATGGGTATTCTACACATCGTTAGATCGGTTAGATTCTCCACAATACAACTGTTCTGTTCATTTAACAGAAACAACAAGACCCAAAGTCTAATTCTTATAGATTTACCAGTGTAACCTGCGTGGTACAAGAGATGAAAAGCGAAAAAAAGAGCTGACTCCCGTTACCTTTGAAGCACTCGTTAAGTCTGAATGTGTCCGCTCCTTGATTATTTATATTCCTTCAGTCTGTAAGGGTCCACCGATCAAAAGAATCAAATCAGCTTTTCATAAAAGTTAATCCAAGTTGTGAATTCTGTCATGTGAAGTCCATCACTCTCTGTCTGCCACACTTCTCTCATCCTGCACCCTGTTGTTGTTGTTTTCGTTACTTTGGTGCCTTTAAATAAAAGCGCATAAACTGTCTTTCAGAGATAGATCAAATATGAATAACAAGTATTATTCTGTTTGAAATAAATTAACTGTTTCATAGTTTCAGTTTTGTGCAAAAGGAATTAAAGGCCTGTCCCATATTGATGCCTGTCCCAAATATGGGCAGGGTCAATTCAGTGATTTTAGCAAATAAAAGCCCGGGCTATTATTCAAAGTTCAAAGTATGTACTTTTAATATCCTCTACATGTCGTTACCTTATGTACTTTGCTCATCTTATGAGGTGTACCAGTGTTTTGATGTAACAGTGTTTCCCACAGGATTTAAAGAGAATGTGCTGGGTGGGCCTTGGACCAGGGTCATGTCCCCCCCGGAAGAAAGTTTTGTACATTTTAAAGTCAAATGCATTAATCTGATGCAAAATTAAGAGGCTATCTATGAAGAACTGTGTACTCTTGTAAAGGGAATATGTTTGCGGAAGCTAAATTCTTTTGTTTCCCAGAGTACTTTTATTATTAATTTATTGAAAGTCTTTTAACATTTTCTTTAATCTGCTGGTTTTATGGATTTTAAAATCTGCTCAAAGATCATTGGAGTTCAGCTGACAGACCTGAGCTCCCTCTAGCTCCAGAAGGCTGGACAGGTCATGAGTCATTCTGATTATGTTCTTAGTCAGGAATTCTGTTTAATACCCTCAGGACAGCGCTACCTCGCCCTCCCAAGGAAAACTAATAGATATGCAAATTATTTTATTCCTTCTGCCATCAAGCTTTTAAATACTGCAGACAGCGGCAGCTAGACATGTGCCAGGCATCGTAAACCTCTGTATTTATTATTTACTTAGTATTGTTATCTATTTATTTATTTAATCTTCTGGTGCCCAAATGCAATATGATGTCATTGACAGTGTTCCTGACTGCTTGATTGACTGTTGTCTTCTTGTCTTGTTTGATACAACTGGTAGGATAAAACTGAATTGCCCTATGGGGATAAATAAAGTTATTTTAATTTGAATTAAACAAGGTTGTGCTCTAAACTATTTGATCATAAACCCCATTGTATAGCTGTAAATGGTGATAAAACTGATTGTTTTATTAAATGTTTTTCCAGCAACCCTAAATCAAAGAATAGACAATAGAGTAAGTAATTTCCCTAACATTTTATTGTTGTTTTTTACTTTTACTGGACACATGTAATAATGTTTTATACTTTCTGTGAATATAATCCAATTAATCTTATTTCCGTCCTGTATAGACACCTTATTTTGAAAACCGACCCAATTTGATAAATTATGTGGTTATCGTATCGCGTAATATGAAGCCTTCACAGCCTCTTTTCAGGTAAGACTCTTATACTGCAACACTTGTCTTTGTATTTAGAGAGAAACTGACAGGATAAAGTCTCTAACCTGATCAGATTGCACTGGGCCGTTTCAGTGGATTTACCATAAAGGCTTGAATATGTGTGCACTCCAAATTTAGGTGCGGCTAGCTTAATTGCCTTCTCACAAACGAGTGACAGAAACAGACCGTTACCGTAGTTACCTCAAAAGAGAAGTGATTGTCTGGAGTCGGATGCCGAAGTGTGTGAGCGTGCGAGCTTACAGCATCTCCCACAACTTGAAACTTGAAACTATGGCTGAACAAAGTAGACTATGGTGGGCCGCCATGGTCTCATTAAATAATGTGAAAACTGATATAATGACCTGTGAGATTGTTGTCTCATGTTTTCTTGTGAGAAAGTTTCCACTGTGACTCAAGGTTGAGAAAGGCTATCTCGTAGACTCCACAATTATTCTTTAGTATTAAATGTTTTATTTGCCTGTTTCTGTGGGTGAATCGCTATTCTTATTATCATTAATAAATTTAACAAAAAAAAACTTGTTGTAACTTGTTTATTTGTTCATTTCATTAGATGTCGGTTCTGTCGGTATTGGAGAGATGAGCATTTTTGCTAAAAGAAACGTAAAGGTATGTCACACTGTGTTGCATGTTGGAACCTGTTGGAACCTGGTTCCATCTGTTCAGACCTTCTCAAATGTTTTGGTAAAAGTATTTGGTATATAATAAAAACTTTTAAAAATAATATTGAAAGGAAGATGTTTACAAGAATTTTTCCCCACATCTTTTCTGTGACAGTTTGCTGGACAGGTTTATCATTGTTCTGTTTGTAGCAATAATCTTCTTTTACCACACATCTCTGATCTTTAATAACGATGGTTAGAATATGGTTTATTTTCTCCTCTCTCAGTTCTGAAGAGCTCTTATCAAAAATTTACAGTTCAACGGCAGAAAACATTTTCTCTTTACACCAGGGCTTATTGAGCCACGACTCATTTCATCTGTAGTTTTAGTAAATAACTGAACAGAAACAGTAATCGGTCACATTACATCTGGTTTCTTTCTTTTTGTCTAAATAAAACAAAGCGTGAAATCTAACATTTCCACATTTACGGAAAAGACTGAAGTGAAATCACAGAAAAATCAGAAACAATCCAGCACTCGGTTTCTATGTTTACAGTTTTTTTTGATCGCTTCGGTACTATTATCGCAAGTATGTGGCTGATGGACGAATGTGGTTGCAGGAAGACTGGCGAGGAAAGAGGAGGAGCCGGGAGGACGCCCGAGAGGACAGGGCAGGTAGGCGCTGACACGACGTGGATGGAGGTTAGTGAACCTGGGGAAAGGCAGATAGACAGACAGGATTAATTACAGGGAACAGAGAACGGTGATTTGCGGGATTCAAAGTAGCTTGCATAATGCAGTGACACCAGGTCAGGAGCAACGACGATCAAGCCAAGATTGTGTGGAGAACCGGTGTTGATATACTGGCAGAGATGGAGTTGATTGCTGGCCGGTGTGGCAGGCAGGAGGCTGCTGATGAGGTGCAGGTGTGGACTGTCAGCTGGGCTCACAAGCGCGGAGAGAGGAAGAGCACACACGGGGGAGGGTGGGGACACAGAGAGGCAGGCAATACACAGAGGAAAACAGAATGGTACGAAAGAAGGACAAATAAACAGGACACTTACCGTCAGCCGGGCTGCCACCACAACTAAAACTGTGCAATCGTCTTTTACAGAACGGTATACTATACTATTTTCAGCACTTCTAAGGCGATTTGAAACATGTATCTTACATTGTTAATCATTGGATTCACTGAAAGTTAAAACCACTAAACTAAAAAGATATCGTTATGTTGTGTTTTGGTGATTAAACCATATGTTTCTCATGACTTTTCATGATGATGATTTTGAATCAATGGCTTGTGTGGTGAGAGATGTTTACAATCCAAATGAATGCACAATGGGAAGTTTTGAATGAAAGACTGGCGGTGTTACAAGTGTGATGGAGTTTTGTACTAAAAGTTTACCACAATTTTACCACATTCTTGCAATAATAGTACCAAAGCGATCAAAAGAAACTGTTAAGTCTTTCTGTGTCCCCTGCCAGCTGAAAGCTTCCTGCACCATCTGTCTGAAATCAATCTAATACATATTCAGCAGGTCTTGTCTCAGATGAAGCTCTTCCTTCATGGTTGTGATGATGTTGGAACTATTAACTTGTAATGTTTCACATCAACACACTCAGAGCTAGATGGAAAACCCAGAGTTAACAGAACCATCCACAAGCAGCTTCATTATACTGGTTATCCAGGACGGCCATTGTTACACCCAGAGAGACATAGAATCAGCTAAACCAGATTCAGGATTCAGGCCCCAGATGTGAGGGAGCAATAAAGACAGAGAGAAATGTTCCAGATCAGACCTGTGGTTTGCTTGTGACGTGAATGAAGTGTGACAGCAGACTGAGATTAGAGAATGAAGACGAAGACAGATATTTGGAGCTCAGCTCTCCTGAAGGAGCCGAGATGAAGTGGGAACAACAAGAGGAAGAAGAGAGCCTTTTGGCTGAAGAAGAGGAAGCAGACAAAGTGACAGTTTTTAGGAATCATTTCTGATTTGGATTCCACACATGGAATCATTTCCATTTGCTGAATCATCATGAAGACGTTCAGAGCCTCTGCTGCTGATGTTGTTCCCTTTTACACTTCTGGAGGAATATTAATATTAGAATTTCCACTTTTACTGTCCATCAGATCAGCCGACCAATCAACAAGCAGACTGTTTCTCCTGGATGATGGAGGAGCTCTATGGATCTCTGGGTCACCGGCTGGATGATGCAGGAAGCAGAATGACCCAGAGAGAACATGCTGCCTGTGAGGACGTCCCAGCAGAGACATGGAGGGGAGGGTTACACCATCACTACACATCTTATATGTGTGTGTTGAAGAACAAACATCACGTGACACACCAGTCTTTCTACAACACTTCCTCACTGACATCAGCTTGTTGTGTGGAGACATTTGTCTGTCCAGCTTCCTGTTGTGTGTTTGACTCTGACTGTGATCAGAGCTACAAGCTGCTCACTGACAGTCACAAACCTGCCACTGGAGACTGTCTGTCCACACCGATGTTGCTTTGATTTGATGGACGTCCTTCTCTGGGCTAAAGACCATATTTTACTGGACACAAGTCTCAAGAACAAACTAAATCCAACAAGTCCATTTTCTGTGGACAAGTCTTTGGACATGTGACAGTGTGGACGTGAACAGTGATGAAGGAAACGTCCTGCTGGTAACAGTGATGTTCTCGTTAATGAAGGAGTTTTCTGTTGACAGACCAGGTGGATGTTCAGAGGGAGGGACGGCCTTCTGCAGGACAAAGAGTGCTGAACAAAGAAATGGAGGATGGGATCGGACTAAATGTTTACAGAGCTATGAGAGCGCTTTGGTAAATGTGATGGAGCAACTGATAAAAAGTGGAACATGTTAAGTATGAGAATAAACCACAAGCAGAGTTTCCACAATCAAAGTGAGTGTGTAGACCGGGTGTGAGAGTCAGTAGGAGTCAGAGTGAAGAAGAAGCTGATAAAGCGTCTTCCTGTCTTCATCTGTCCTCTATCAGCTGCTTCACCTCCATTTTCTCTCTAATCCAGAGTCAGATCAGATCAATGATCAAACTAATTGATCGGTCATCAGAGGAGTTGGATCAGTGGAGCTGCTTCTGTTCCTGTTTGTCTCTGCAGAGGAGACAGAGGACAGTCAGACAGAGACAAACACAGAGACACTGACCTCAGTCTCCATACTGACCTTTGACTCTGAGACTCTGAGATTTCTGCTGGAGACGTAGACCCAGTATCGTCCTTCGTCTCAATCTGTGGGGGATTTCAGGGTCAGACTGAGGTCTCCAGTTCTCAGCAGGTCTTCCTTCAACTAGTCCTGTTGGTCAGAATAATCAGAGCCGTTCTGATACACGTGGACCGTCTTTAGCGGCTCCACTCTGATGTCCTCAGGGAGGTGAGCTGTGGTCTTGAAGGGCAGCAGGACAGACTCCACCCCCTCCTCCACGTCCACCTGACAGACTGAGACGACTACAAAGCAAAACATCAGCTGCACAGACAGCAGGAGCAGTTTGAATAACTTTATTTAATGATTACAAAGTTGTAGAGAAGCTGAAGGACAGAACCAGATGAGAGCAGCCGCGAACAGGGGACAGAAATACAGGAAGTAAAAGCAAGAAAATATTTTAAAGTCAGTGACACAAACAGCTGACAGAGATTTATGTCATTAAACACTTAAGTAAGTCCAACTTTTCATTAGTACAATAATGAAACGATAACAATATAAAAAGGATAAAAAAAATTATTCTTCCTCAGAGCAAAAGCTCATGATGTCACTTTTAATCAGATCAACTGAAACTGCATTAATTAGAATACTTTGACAACAATCAATATTAATAGATTACACTGAAAACTATTTTAAGGTGTGGAAATAAATTTGCTCTCTGTGTTTAGAGAATAAAAGAGCATCAGTCTGTGATAATCCAAATAACTCATCATTTCTGCTGATTCTACTCAAACACGAGCTCCTAATTTCATGTAAATGAGGTCTACTGACCAAAAAGAAGAGTAAAACGTGGTCATGGGTTGGAATGAAGTTGCCTAAAAAGCTGTGTTAATTTATAATTCATGTTTTAAACAGTCAAACCCGACCGGACAAAAGTGACACGGTTGACGGGAAGATGAAATAAAAACACAGGTTTAAAGCTGAAGGACCAAACTGCTGAGCCCCGTTTCAGAAAGCGGGATTAGTAAAATTCTGAGTACGTTCAGCCTGAGATGAGGGAAACTCTGGGTTTTCTGTTTCAGTGAGCAAGATCAGATAATCCCTAGATCAGTAACTCTGTCAACTGATGCTGTGAACCTAACCTCCTCGGGAGGATAAGTTGGAAAACCGTCAGTTTCTCTCTGACTCCTCCTTTACAATCACAGGTTCATGAGTAAAGTGTCTTATATTTGATCTATACCTATTTTCATAATCAGGTAGCTGATTGCCACCCGATTTTGTCCCATTGGGTTACAGCTTAATAAATATAGCCTTCCTATTTAAAATCGAGTGTAATGGGCTGCAGCACTTTATCATTCATTAAGGAAAGTTCAGTCTGATAAATGATGAATGATCAACGCTGCATAGTAGCCTAATAAAGTTAACGCATTGATCCTTCTTCCACTCCTGAATTTCATGATCCACGTTGGCAGCATTCATATTACTCTCTCCACCCGATTAAAATGGAGGCTCTGCGTTTATTTACCCATTGCCATGGTGAATCGTACTATCGGAGCTCCATTGGTGATGTATTTTTTTCATCCACACGCACGCTCTTCAATCAGGCTCATCATACTCAGAGTTGACTGAACTTATTCTGATCAGCTGCTCTGGAAGTTTCCCACCTCAGGCTCAGTCAACCCAGAGCTCAGGGATAAGCTCAGAGTTTGTTAAGCCTGCTTTCTGAAACAGGGCCCTGTTGTTGTTCTGTTTGACTTGTTGTTGTTGACATCTCCTCATTTAGCAAGGAGTGATAAATCTTGTGACATATCAGACTTTACCACTCTGCCACATGAGGGCGCTATAACCAAAGTTTTTCTGCCTCGTGAAATCATCAGTCTCACAGCTTTCATCACATGTCGTCAGGTGGAGTTTCAGGTGAAGCTCGTGTTCAGACGCCAGAGAGGAACAACAGGTGGGACAAGTGGACGCTGTTTGACTCCTGATCAATTAAAGTCAGAGAGAGTCGGAGAGTCTGTCAGAAAGAAACATGTTTTACATAATTTATCATTTGTATTCTGTCACATGTGAGACTGCTCATTCTTGTCTAGTCCAAATAGACGACTATAAAACAGATCTCACCTACTGCATCTGATGAAAGCAGTCAGCGGCTACGTAAAATCAGCTGATGAACGTATGAATGAAAGCTGCTACGCTAAAAAGAAAGCGTCAGACTGATATGATGGAACGCAGTGATCGATCGGTGACGAGTGATGTGACTTGCATAAATTTAATGTAGGCTAGTGTTAAAGGATATCAGGACTGGAAATAAACCGAAAGCCTAAAACTGAGCTTCGACTAGAGTTACATCATCCCTGAAACATTTAGCCTAATAAATCTAAAGGCACCATGATCATATTCTGAGTTATTCAATAACGAATTCACAGTCAGAATCAATTAATATAAATTCAGCATTGTGCCAGTAGAAATTATCCTGTGCCTCTGAGCAGGACATAACATAGTATTATTCATGTGCAGGTGTTTGTTAAACAGGTAACAGCTACAGAGAGAGTCATGCTGCTGTGCTCTGATAACTGTGAGACTTTATTAGACACAAACTCCATCAAAAGTGTGTACAGCTGTTAGAGCCGACTGACAGCTGATCCAGCTGTGATCAGCTGCCGCCATCATCACAAACGGACGTCGCTTCATGTGACGCTTCAGAGAAAATGACGTATCATGTCTCTAAAAACACATTTCCTCGTTCCTTCTCTCCTCGCTTGGTTTCCTTGTGTCTCTCCATGCATCTCCGGTGGGCGGGACTAAGACGCAAGTGAGGGAAACGTGAATGCAATTAAGAGACTTGAGAAGCAGTCCATTATCTTGCGTCCTGGGACTTCTCCCAAGCTGCCGGTACTCTCCTCTGTCCTCTCCATATCAGGTTCTCTAGGCGCTATGTGATGCTCACCTGTTCCCGTTCTCGCCTGCATACTAATCGCTGTCGGCAGAGAGAGACGAGGGAGAAGAGAAGCTCGGGTGCCTTTCAAGCAACCTGTGCTAAAAGTAGCTTGTCAGTGTCACTTGTCGTGAACCGACCAATCACAGCGTGGATGGGGCGGGACATTTAAAGTATTGACAGATATGTTCATTTACACTGAGGACGTGGACGCTGTCAGAATCAGAGTGTCTCGATCACTTTTTTTGAAAGCTTTTAAAAATGTTCTGAATGACAGCAACAAAAAATGTTAAATAACAAATGAAACAATCCACAATAAGTAAACATGCGGTGCAATTAAAATATAGAAGAAACAAATTTGATAAAAGCTGATTACTGCATTTTATTCAGTTACATTTCTATACGTTGAATTGTCACCTGCCACCTTAATTTTGTTTTCCTTCATATAATAAAGACATTTCCTCCATAAATTGGTCCAGAAGTACTGGCACGTATTTCTTTCCACTTCAAGCACTCAGGGTCAGTTTCAGACAGCTGATGCTGCCGATACTGATCCCAGATCTGTGTGTCAGGGACAGAAGAAGCAGCAGTTAACTACTGAAGGACCAGAACAGGCGCTGGACCACAGAGACACATCTGGTAATCCAGCTAACTTCAGCTTAAACACACATCTTTGAAATAAAAACTGGATTCAACAAATTTGATATTTGGTTTATGACACTTTGAATATAGTTCTAGGAAAATTTCAGCTGTCAGAAACAAACACGTCTCTCACGGCCACTTCAGCATAAACGCACTTTCATGACCCACAAGTGTTAAATATGGAACAATGAGGACAAAAAGAAATGACTGTTTGAAATGAACTGAATCACCAGAACTCGTTTTAAGGCTGTTTGCAGTCTGGAGAACAGAACAGAGTCTCCAGCTGCTGATACAGTAACGATGGTTTGTGAATCTCTGCGGGACAAAAAGCTTCAACGTCTTGGAAAAAAATCAGCAACATTAGACTGCTGTTACGCGAGACTCTGTGAGGCCGCGAGAACACGCAGCTCCACGAGTTCCCGCAGCGCTCCTGAATCTGAAGAGCTCCGACAGTCACAGAGGAGACCTGCTGGATCTCAGAGACCAGGACCAAGAGCGGGATGGAGGAGGACAACCAGGACCCGGAGCCCCGGAGCAACAACGTCCCCGGAGGACAAACAGCAGGCTCGAGCTCTGATAGCACCGATGTTCAGGTCAGTGTTCATGAACACAGCTAGCAGCTAACAAGAAGCTAACGTGGCGTTAGCTCGGCCTGGTTCCGACACGTAGCTTCATATTGACTGTAAACAAGATGTAATGTAGCAGGATTCAACAGTGGAGCCATCAGAACCCCGTATCTCTACAGAACCCACACTTAATGTGACGGTCGGACCCGGAGAGGAGGAGGAGCAGGAGCAGGAGGAGGAGCAGGAGGTCTCTTGTAGCATGTAGCCTGCTGCCTGGGTGTTAGCATGCTAGCTAGCTGGACAAAGCTACAGTTAACTTCCGGTTCGGCAGTTGGGTTTACGCTCTGGACTGTGGAGTGTTCGGTGCACGAGCTCTGGCAACCAAGCTGTGGAGCGAGTCAGTCAGTTGTTAGGAAAGAAAACAAAACGTCTCTGACGTGCTATTAACAAGCTAACGGTTAACAAACTTGGTTTAAGATACAACGTTATCTCGTGGACTCAGAATGGACAAGCGTCTGAAGTTCAGAAGGCCAGAGACACGGACTAGTTCGCGCATGAGGCTGAGGACAGTAGTGCTGAGTTTAGCACAACACACAGCGCTAATGGAGCTGGAAGAGCCGCTGCAGGTTACTAGTCAGTGAATGTTGCATCAACAACGAAGAGACAGGGTGTGTGTATAAGGACCGTGTCTGTGTGTCGGCGTTGTGCCGCTGTTGTAGGGTAACGTTATGTTAACGGAAACATCCATCATGCTAATGCACATTAAACAGCGAGGAGAAAACACACCGGAGCCCAACTTATCCCCGCTGCTTTCAAGCCAATACTACGGTTTACCGTATATTACTATAAGCCTTTAGATGCAAAAACAGAACAGGATGACTGATCACTGAGGTAACTGGCATTAAAATATTACATTACATTACCTTATCTAGCCAAGGTGTAATTAATTGTAACAACTCAAGCTGCACAATTCATTTTGTCTTTTTGATTTCACCCCTTAAGAGTGACGTTAAATAACAAATGAAAATACTTGAAAGGTTTATTTGCTCAATAATAAAACATGCAATGTAAATATAGAAGAAACAAATGTTGTCTAAAAATAAAGGAACTTAAGCTAAAAGAACAAGCTTCTGAGTACTGCATTATATTCTGTTTGAATTGTCACCTGAATCACTTTATAAATAAATACAATTCTACCATAGATTGGTGCAGAAAATGTCTCCAGAATGCAGGAAATTAGGTGTTTAATGCTCAAAGTTTTCTAGAGGACCCCCAGCCCCCCATTTATAGATTTCAGCATTGAAAATTTCATCAAAATAGTGTTAAAAATATCTTCTTGTCTTGTTCTCGTGAACCTAATAGTGTGACTTGTGCATGTGGTCTTTAAAAGTCTTAAATTTAACTAATCCTGGCGGTACCCTGAACTGTATTCAGAGCAGCAGTAAAAGGAAACAAATGGAACATGTAAAATAACTGAATAAAGTTTAGATTGAAGCCAGCAGTCCTCCTTCTCCCTCTGCTGTTTAATCAGGTTTACTGTCAGGTACATTTTCACATACGAGGAATTTGCCGTGGTATAAATCGGTGCTTACAGTACCCATAAACATATAGAAATATAAAGATATAATAAGTAAGGAGATCTAAAAATGCACAAGTATACAGTAATTACAATAATACTATAATACAATGCTGACAAGTATGTACAAAAATTTACAACATGAGCACAAAGAACAGTTGAGCTTTGTTTTTAAAGTGTGTGTTTGGGGAGGGGGGCACGAGAGTCAGTGACAGTGGGGACCCGAGCCTTGTTGAGGAAGCCCACTGCAATCGGAAGGAAACTGTTCTTGTGGCGACTAGTTTTGGTCTTGGTAGAGAGGAGCCGGTTTCTCAACAAGCAGCTGAGTTTACAAGGATTTGCTAAATTTTAAGGTTGCTAAATTTTAAGGGATGTAGCATCTCAGCTAAACAGGCTACAGACAGAGTTTTAGCTTGTTATGACAAACTAGCTATTAGCAAAGCTAGCATGTGTGTTTGTGTAAAACCAAAACACAGCTGCGATGGTTGAGACGGAGTAGAATAAAATATTGCTTGGTGCATGTTCCTGCTTGTTGTACTGATGCAGTATGAGCCTTTTACTAATACTGCTGGTTTTGCTGCACTTACTTACAGTTACGGCTAGGGATGGGGATTGAGACCCAGGTCTAAAAGGACCCAGTTCCAAAATTTCTCAAAACCTGAAAATCAATAAGGTTATAATAAGGCTGCAGACGCCATTACGTAAGTCAGATATTGACTTTATATAGTGACTTTGCTATTGTAAACATTAATGTTGCTGCTGTAGAAACAATTTTGCTGTATTTAAAATAATAAATTCTAATCCTATAATTAATTTTAAAGAGGTGGTATTATGCTTTTTGGCTTTTTCCCTCTCCTTTTATTGAGTTATATATAATTTTTTATGCAAGTAACAGGTTTGCAAAGCGAAAAAGTCCAAAGTCCACCCCAAAGGGAGTTCCCATCTCTCACAGAAAGCTCTGCTCTGAACAGCTCGTTTGTAGTCCAGCCTTTCACTTCCTTCATTTGTGACGTCACAATGAAAACGCGTCATAAAGCTTGCCCAGCGGCTAGCGGGGTCAGGCACGCCATCAAATCAAGCTAGTCTGAGCGGAGGCCCTTTGGCTCGACTCGCCTTTGTTTGGGTTTCCATTGTAGAAATGTTGTACCTGTACCTGCTTCCAGGTACTTTTTTCGTATCACCTCACCTCCATCGAGGTTCCTAGCAAGCTGTAATGTAAACGTGAACGTAAAATGTAACGTGAAAACATGAGACTGATTGGTCAGAGAGAATATTCACTGCATCATCATTGCTGCACCAGACAGAGGCCAACAGAAAGTTTTATATTTTACAGTTTTCGTATGGAATTTCATCACTAAATCCATTTCTGAGAAGTTTTGAGGTGAGAAATCAGCTGTGCAGATTTTGAATATTGACAGTTTTACGAGAAGTGATGGCGGAACAAAAATGTGCTTTAATATTTTTGGAGTTGAGGAGCTCCGCAAGCGGCTGTGGGGGAAGCCTGTACCAACCCGCAGGAGGAGCGCGTGAGGCCGGCCAGCCGCCCGCTCACAGAGCCCTCTGCTCCCGCCGTCACACAGACCGCTGCAGCAACACCGGCAGAGGAAACACAGCTGGAAGGTTTTCACTTCCGACTTCCCGTGTCAAATGTAACGCACCATATCTCTGGGTAATATCTGCAATGGAAAACGGAGCAGAGCCGAGTAGAGTTGAGTCTATCGTTTTGCGCTATGGTAGCATTTTTCGGCAAGGCAGCATAGATCGTCAGAACACCGGCAACAGTTCCACGTTTAGTCCTAAAAGACGATGCAACTCCGACTTTGTTTGGGCCTGGAAATTCACAATCACAACCTGTAAGTATGCTTTATTGGTTGTGAATTATTTTAAATATAAGCATGTCAATGTAACTTCACAGACTGTTCAAGTGCAGAGTTGTTGTAAACGTTGGCTAACACAGCTAAGGTTATAGCTATAATGCTAATGTTACAACTGATGTGAAAGCTACTGAGCAAACGTTCAAATTGTTTGGCCAATTTTGATGTAAAATTGAGTTGAAATATGGTGATTTTTGTAGTGGTTTATGGTAAGATGTGGAACAATGATGTTGTGGAGAGTAATTTATATATCTGCTAGGTTACAGGCGCAGTCTGAAGCGCCTTTGATTTGGATCACATTACTTTATTTCTTACTACCTGCTTCTCTGCTTCTGATTGGCTAGTAGAGATGTATCACTCGGTAGCTCATACAACACATAGGGTGAAAAGAGGAGCTGCAGCAATGTGCAGTATGAGGGGAAAATAAGGAGTTTTTTGAAAATAAGATTTTGATCCTGAAAATGAGCATAAAACAGGCAGCTATGCTGTATTTATCCTCCCACAGCGTCTGGCCCAGGTGCTGCCAATCTGGTTTACAGGCGCTGTTACCTTCAGGGACAAAAGGAACACAGTTAAACACCCAACTAGGCAGGGCCGTCACAGAAAGCACAAGTCAAAGTATATTTCCAGCAAGAGTGGCAGGACGGCTGCTTTACTCCAAACAGTTTCACTTTTTGAACCTGCACTGTGTGCAAGACCTATTTAAATGTATAGAGAAAAAGCCTTGTAGCGTCAGTTTTTGATGGTAAAGGTACGTATATGGTATTTAACACAAAAGACTGAGTAAGGAGGTGGTTGGGGTAGATGGAAGGCCAGAACCAGAAGTATTTTTAAGTTATGACAGTTACATAAATATGTAAGTTATTGAAGTGATGTAAGTTAACTTACATGTTGATTGATGTAGTTATTTTAACCCAGACCATGATCTTTTCCTACCCATAACCAAGTAGTTTTGTTGCCTAAATCTAACCAAATTGCAATGTTTCACGGCTTGAATAACGTGCTGTTTCAAAATGGCTATGTATCAAAATGCTAGCATAGTATCGCCAGACGTTGCATATTTGTTGTTAAACGTTGGTAACTAGACCACAGAGCCGTCAAAGAATGACGCTAAAGGGCTACCCAGGTTTTTACAGGCGGCGGAAAAAAACCTTGAACAAGCGTCAATATGTGACGAGTTGGGAGTGAGAATGTGTTGCCGTACAGCTACTCTCTCACCTCCCGACTCCTGTCCACTTTCCCCTAATGCCCACTCCCTTACAAATATACGCCAATCAAAGACAACAACCAATGAAATCACATGGGACATTGAGGACCGTTCTAAGTGTTAATTACGGTCAAATAGTTATATGGCAACATAACACATACATTGTATCTGCTGCACTCTGCCACACGTGAGAGAGGACAACAAACATGTTAACTGCACCGGCAGCTGCTGTGCCATTCATCATAAACTTATACAAGGCCCAAACGAAAGAAGCACTGAATGCAAAATAGTTAGGTAACCTGACATTAGTAAACATGTTTAGCTCAGCATTGGCCATCTAAGTTAGCTTGCTTCTTGCTTCAGCTACGACCTACGAGAGGTTAACTCCAACTGTCGTTGCTTAGGAAAAGATGAATGAGCATTTATTTGTTTGCCAAACTGGTGGTAGTCGATTAACGTAATCATTTACGTTCCACTGGCTGCTGTGATGTTTATTGACATTAGCTGCAAATGGGTTACAGGTTTATGTTGATCATGTAACGTTACAGTTTTATTTAGTTATAACGTTATATTGGTTTGAGAGTCTGGGTGGAGGGGTGGTGACTTACAGTAGTTAATAAGCTGTTGATCTGGTCCAACACCTGAACAAATTTGTTTGAAGCAGCCTCCGGCCTACAAGGGCCACTTCTGATTTTTACTATCACACTTTTCTTATGAGAAACACGTTTAATAAAAAAGGTCAATCTGTGCAGCGTAGGAGGAGATATCCTGACTTAAGACTTTGGGGTGGGTCAAACTCTATTAACACAGGATCTTACATATCCCATAATGTAACTTGATCATGTGAGGTTGATCGATAATAGAGCAATGTCTAGGAGGGATCTGTGATGATCAGATTCCTGTAGAGGTCTGTGCCACCCCAGACCCCTCTGTGGACACATCCCTGCAGGTGTTACAGGTGGTAATGTTTTAGTCAAACTTGGAACATTGTGGGTTGTGCTGTAAATGTAATTTATGGTTCTAGATGGCTCGCTCCACCGTGACATCTCACTCACTTTCTTTCTCTCTGTTTGTATGCTGCTATAGAAACGAAGAGGAAGCGAGGGACTCAAACGTCACCGCTGTCAGCACTGTGACAAATCCTTTGCAAGATCTGGATATTTAATGAGTCATCAGAGAATTCACACTGGAGAGAAACCGTACAGCTGTGACCAGTGTGGGAAAGCTTTCATTCAGTCATCTAAACTAACAATCCACCGACGTGTTCACACTGGAGAGAAACCGTACCGCTGTGTCCTATGTGGGAAAGCTTTCATATCAGCATCTAAACTAAAAATCCACCGACGTGTTCACACTGGAGAAAAACCTTACTGTTGTGACCAATGTGGGAAAGCTTTCAGTAAATCAGGTGACCTTAAGGTCCATAGACGTATTCACACTGGAGAGAAACCGTACAGCTGTGACCAGTGTGGGAAAGCTTTCAATAAATCCAATGACCTTAAGGTCCACAGACGTGTTCACACTGGAGAGAAACCGTTCAGTTGTGACCAATGTGGGAAAGCTTACACTACAAGAGGTAGCCTAAAAAGACACCTATGTGATCACACTGGAGTAAAACCTTACTGGTGTGACCAGTGTGGGAAAGCTGTCACTTCATCAGGTCACCTACAAAGGCACCAACGTGTTCACGCGGGAGAAAAACCTTACGGGTGTGACCAGTGTGGGAAAGCTTTCACAACAGTATATGAACTAAAAATACACCAACGTGTTCACACTGGTGAGAAACCGTACAGCTGTGACCAGTGTGGGAAAGCTTTCACTGCAACAGGTCAACTACAAAGGCACAGACGTGTTCACACTGGACAGAAACCATACTGGTGTGACCAGTGTGGAAAAGCTTTCACTACATCACATACACTAAAAATACATCAACGTGTTCACACTGGAGAGAGACCGTACAGCTGTGATCAGTGTGTGAAAGCTTTCACCTCATTTGGTGATTTGACAAAGCACAGACGTGTTCACACTGGAGAGAAACCATACTGGTGTGAACAATGTGGGAAAATGTTTGCTCAGAGCAGTACCCTTAAAGTCCACCAACGCATTCACGGTGCTTCGTTTGAACATTTTTCAGAGCCAAGCTAGGTGTTTCCTCCTGCCTTCTCCTCATGTCCTGATTAGGGGCGTTGCTGCGTTGAGCAACATGCACCGCTAGGCTAGCTCGCGCGCATGCTGCTGTTCAATTTTTGCGCTGAATCCAGCTTCCACGCAGTGCAAATTGCTTCTTTTCTGAAAGAGCCTTTATGGAAGAACGTCGTCCTCTCAAGACTATCAGTCACTAAACATTTAGTGTTGCCTCCTCCTGTCTGTGTTGAGAAAATGTTGCCAGATTTAAAACACTAACAAAACATCAGGAGCTTATGGACTTTCAGGATAATACCAATTAACTGAATTTCAGATATTAATAAGCCTGTATGAGAGATGCTCTCAACTTTTCACAAAAAATTACACGTATGGATGAGAGTGGATGACAACAGTTCAGTTTATTACCCATCTTAAAAACAATTTCCCTTGGGGTATAAATGAAGTTAATATTCCTCCTAATTAATGCATAATAATTGTTAAACCATGATTATTCTTCAGACTATAATCGTACCAACAAAATCTGTATTCGTTGCATCCCTAGTGCTGATAGCTGTGTTGTAATAATGTGAGCTTCTTTGCAAACTAAGGGATAGACAACAGGAACAGAGGTGTTTCTTTCAGATATGTTTCCCCTGTAGATCACCTTTCTCATATAATATCATCCCTGCTGTATCAGTACACATTGCAGGCATGATTTAGTCTTCCCTCCGCTTTTTTGTCTTTTTGTCTTTTTAATGTGCAAACCTTTTCACGTTTTTGTCCACATAATTACTTGTAAGATACAACACAAAATAAGAAAGATTAAATATATTTTAAATGTAAATGACAGTAAACATTTGGTTTTGAGGAAATGGCTGTTAATGATTAGCTAATACAATAGAAACGCACTTACCATAAAATAACCAAATTCAAGATTGTTTTGTACATTTTATAAAAGTATGGTAATACTCTTGCTTTAATTGATCAGTTCATTATTTGTCAGTGAACCATCTCTTTATTCATGTGATCTAGTTTTATTCCACATCAAATGTTCATTTTCTCCTGTAAGAAATATTTAAAACTGAGGGCATGCCTAGGACACTGAGATGGGGAGCAGTGCAGACTAAAAACAGACATCGGTGCAGTCAAAAAACAGTCATCAGTGATTATCCTTAATAAGTATTAATCATTTTATTATCATTAATCATTCTTAATCTTTGTACATTACCTAGATGTACCTTATTTTCTACTTATAAGTGCTGTATGCAGTAACAAGCTCACTATGGTTAGATCCTTGAGTGGGAGACTATGCACACCTTGTTCAACTGTTATCTACTGCTGTTATGACTACATGAGGGACTGTTGATGTTCTAGTCTGCTGATATTAAGACTGTGTTTAATTACTGATTAAGGGTTTGATTGTCAACTTAAACCTCTGATTATTACAGCCTGTGTGAACTTGCTGAAGGAATTTTTGATGACAATAAAAACGACAGATGCTTGATGAAAACGCGACAGAGAGATGATAAGCAGAAAAGCAGAAAACAGCCAGCACAACATCAAGATGACTGTAAGAAACTAAGCATTAATGAATTCTTGTATTAATTTTTGAAGAAATACAATTGTATGTCAAATTATGCATGTATAACCTTTAAAAAATACGGCAAGACCCAAGTTGAAATGTAATGGTGAACTTATTATCCAGTAGTGTAAAAATATAGAAAATCAACAACACAGTAATGAGTGACAGCTGGACAACAGTGTTAATTGGTAAAACAACTCATGTAAGCAGCATGACGGCAGAGAATAAGAAGTTCATCATGAGGAAAGGAAGGGGCAAACCAGCCCAGATGGGGATATATTAGGCTGTCTGCAGACCACTGGATTGACTTCATCCTCCGACCTGCCGGGGTGTTGTACGGGTTTATCTGTCTTTTATTGGAATAAACTCTCTTGAACTGACTCTCGACCGTCTCTAGAGAAGTTTTTGACTGCAAACTTATTGACAATAGTAGAAAGTTAATGGAGTATTTTTTGACAAAGTTTAAAAAGCTGGTGAAGGTGGGGACCAGGCTTAACTGGCCCAGCGTGGTCGTACATGTTTGGTAAAATCTTGTGGGGCCCTTACCTTCCTATGTCTTAAGTAAAATCTGGGTGCCATGATGTTTCTCTTAACAGGTTCAATTTCTTGTTTCTTTGGTTACTTTAAATATTCTTCTCCAGATTTTAAACATGTTAACTGTATGTAGAGTAGTTGTGTATTTTGATCTGTTTGTTCATCCAATTCTAGTTGAAGCAACAAGTTTTCTATCTTTTTTTGTTAAAGACAGCACCAGTTGAGGTGAAAAAATAAATGAAGAATTGAGCTTTATCTTTAACGAATGAACAGAGAGACAAGAAATAACAGAAACTGGAGGAAAGAGATGGATTTTCTGCTTCAAACAAATTAGATCATATGACATCTGTTTATACCTGCTCCAAATGTCAACACTGAAGACAGGGCAAAAATCAAAAAGTCCAAATGTTTAAGAGGCCTGAATAAGTGGTGGAAATAATGTCTTCATTATCTGATATTATTTTAACAGCTGTTTGCTTTCTGTTCTGTCAGTAAATGTGTTGCTTTTTGTTTAACTTGCCAGGGTTGGTACTGGAATAACCTGAGCTGGAGACTTGAGACTTGGACTTGAGTTCTTTTCAATATTCTCATTAAATTAGTCGACACAAAGAGAAGCTTTGACTCACCATTTGAAACTGGACGTTCAATGAAATGTTTCCATTCAACAATATTTGTTCTATTGTAATTGATTCAAACACAAACCATTCACCTTTTTACATTTGGTGATGACCCCTCCACCCAGACAGAGAAGGGATTGGTTGATGGCTATGATGATCACCGCTTTCACCCGCGAGCATCAAAGAGAGAAAAGTTGTGATTTCAAAGGAGCATGATGAAAGTGAAACGTCCTGTTTTGATCCTGCAGTCACAAACCTTTAACTTCTACTTCAGATTCTGATGTCGTCTGTGCAGCAGCACCAAAACAAGCGGTGGAAGCTGATTTACAAAGGTGGAAAACCTCTTTATCGTCTTCTCACTCTCACATTCCTTATTAAATATCATGTTTTCTAATGAACTGCATCACGTGTGGAAACCTTCAGAGTCTAACAGAGCTTCCAGAGGTTTTGTTGAAGAGTCAGACTGTGTTTAAGCGCCACCTGCTGCTCATTAAGCAGACACACCAATAAAGATGAAGAATAAAGAGAACAGAGTGCTGCTGTTCCTCCATCTTCTGCTCTTTCCTTCATTGTTTTACTCTCTCTGGATGCTGCTGTGCTCTGACAGGAAATCACTGACGTTTAGTGGCTGAACGAGCAGCTTTGATTTGTTATTGAACTTTCTAATGTGTCTGTTAGCTCACATGTCTTTGACCTTTACACCTCAGCTCATGTCAGCGTTGATGTTTCCTCCCTTACTGTAACGTACAGAAGCTGATGTGCTTCCTGCAGTAGTTTGGTTTGTATCTGCTGTAAGCTGCAGTTAATCGATTGATTGTTTGGTTTGTAAAGATCACGTAAATAGTAAGAAATGCCGTCACAGTTACCCAGAGCCCAAAGTGACAACTTCACAATGCTTGTTGTGTCCAACCAACAGTCCAAACCTCAATATTATTAACAAACATTAAATAAATGTTTTCAGTAGAGTAAAAATTTTAATTTCTAAAGTAACTAGTAACTAAAGCTGTTAGTTAAATTAGTGAAATACAATATTTCCCCCTGAGATGTGGAGTAGAAGTAGAAAGTAGCATGAAAACAGTCAAGTAAAGTACCTGAGTGTTGTACTTAGGGCTGGGCGATATGGTCCAAAATGTTATCACGTTAAAAACATTTAATATAATTCCATATTTATAATTATCCCGATAAATGTCAAATCGTTATTTATTTCAGGTTTAAAGACTGATTTTTTGCTCCTGACCGAAAATTGAAGAAACCAGATAGTTAATTATGTGGCTCAACTCTTCTTTATGATCAGAATGGGGCACTTGATGCCAAAGAGTGGATCACTTAACAAATCTAAGGGAGAACATTCAAAACTATTATGATAAAAAAGTGTTTTAACAAATATGATTATTAAATCTGTTCAGTCCCTTTTCCTCAACAAAATATTTTAATAGAAAAATTAAGTTCTGATTTCTTTGTGATTCAAATGAATTAAATCAAATATTTATTGACGATATATTGAAAATGTATTATATTGATATTGAGGAAAATAATATTGCAATAATTATCATTATTGTTTTATTGCGCAGCCCTAGTTGTACTTGAGTGAATGCAGCTGTTGTGTTAATGTGGAGCTCTCCAGTTTGTCCTGAGGGCCGAACAGACTGACAGTGACAGGAAGCAGCCAGCAGGAGGCAGCAGAGGAGCTTCAGTTTGTTCAACAGATGATAGTTTTCACTTTAAAGTCACTGGAGGAGCAAACTGTGTGCAGAGTGTTGCCAGCCAGATATGTAACATGCCAAATATCTGGAGGGGTCGGCCGACTCGACATCCGCATCCAGCCAATGAGAGAAGGCAGCTGGCAGAACAGCAGCTACTTTTTCACCGCAAAACACTTGCCTCCAGCTCTCTTTGTAGCTCAGACAATCCCTGCTACTTGCGTGTGCTAATCCATTCTTTCACCCATATTCTTTGTCTTTATAATTGATATTTTTATAATAAACAAACAACAGCTGTTTCAGGTGTGTAGGTTCATGTCATTTCACGTGCGTTTTGACAAAACCTGGTTTGGAAACCAGCATCGGGTGTTTATGGTTCTGGAGCTGTGGAGTCTGGATTTGTGGTCTGTACAGAGAAACCTTTTGACTGAAGAGGAAGCAGACAAAGTGACAGTTTCTAGGATTCATTTCTGATTTGGATTCCACACACATGGAATCATTTCCATTTGCTGAATCATCATGAAGACGTCCAGAGACTCTGCTGCTGTGTCTTTTACACTTCTGGAGGAATATTAATATTAGAATTTCCACTTTTACTGTCCATCGGATTAGCCAACCAATTAACAAGCAGACTGTTTCTCCTGGATGATGGAGGACGTGAACAGTGATGAAGGACACGTCCTGCTGGTAACAGTGATGCTCTCGTCGATGAACAAAGAAATGTAGGGGATTGGACTAAATGTTTAGAGAGCTGTGAGAATAAAACAAGCAGAGTTTCCTGAGAGTCTGTAGGATTCAGAGTGAAGAAGAAGCTGACAAACCGGCCTCCTGTCTTCATCTGTCCTTCATCAGCTGCTTCACCTCCATTTTCTCTCTGATCCAGAGTCAGATCAGATCAATGATCAAACTAATTGATCGGACATCAGAGGAGTTGGATCAGTGGAGCTGCTTCTGTTCCTGCTTCTCTCTGCAGAGGAGACAGAGGACAGTCGGACAGAAACAAACACAGAGACTCTGACCTCAGTCTTCATACTTCATACTGACCTGACGGACAGTAGCAGCAATTTGAATAACTTTATTTAACGTCAGTGACACAAACAGCTGACAGAGATTTATGTCATTAAACACGTCAGTCCAATTTTTCATTAGCCAGTGAGTTCTTGTAAACATTCTTGTCTCCCTGATAAGGACAAGTACATGTGAGAATTACCTAAAGCTAGAATGTCAGAAAACTCTTATGGGGTCAGCTACATTACTCTAAGCTAGACCTGTCTTACCTTTCCCTGTTACATCAACACAGCTCCTTAAGAAATATTCTCAACAATAACATAAATAAAAAGGATTTAAACATTTCTTCTTCCTCAGAGCAAAAACTCATGATGTCACTTTAAATAAGCATGAAAACTACTACAAACATGAAACCGCATTAATTAGAATACTTTGATAATAATCAATACTAATAGATGAAACACACAAAGAACATGAAAGTATAATTTTTAGTTTTGTAAATAAATGTTGACTCTTGTTTGTAAATAAAATGTTTAAACATTTCTTCTTCCTCAGAGCAAAAACTCATGATGTCACTTTAAATAAGCATGAAAACTACTACAAACATGAAACTGCATTAATTAGAATACTTTGATAATAATCAATACTAATAGATGAAACACACAAAGAACTTGAAAGTATAATTTTTAGTTTTGTAAATAAATGTTGACTCTTGTTTGTAAATAAAATGTTTTGCTCTCTGTGGTTAGTGAATAAAGAGCATCAGTCAGTTGTGACTTGGGAATATCCTGGCTAATATTTGACATATGCCAGTCTGTGATAATCCAAAGTAACTCCTCATTTCTACTAAAATATGAGCTGTAATTTCATGTAAACGATGTCTACTGACAAAAAAAAGAAGTGTAAAACTTGATGAGTTGGAATGAAGTTGGCTAAAAAGCTATTTGATCAAAGCAATTCTGACATAAGTTGACAAACTTTTTTAGTCATTTAAAATGAGCTGTAGATAAAATCTAATTATGTTCAATTTCAAGTTCAAAAGTCCACAAAATGTTGAGGAGGGTCCGCTGCATTTTGCTGCTCCTTTCGAATCGCACGCAAAACCCGCAAACCATCTCCTGAATAGGTCACGAACGGCCGTCTCGCGAGGCTTCGAACGTCACCACATACGTCATCAACACAAGCCTCGACACGCGCTTCGAAGTGTCGATACGGACGGACACATTACTAAGTTACAGAGGAGACCTGCTGGATCTCAGGAACCAGGACCAAGAGCGGGATGGAGGAGGACAACCAGGACCCGGAGCCCCGGAGCAACAACGTCCCCGGAGGACAAACAGCAGGCTCGAGCTCTGATAGCACCGATGTTCAGGTCAGTGTTCATGAACACAGCTAGCAGCTAACAAGAAGCTAACGTGGCGTTAGCTCGGCCTGGTTCCGACACGTAGCTTCATATTGACTGTAAACAAGATGTAATGTAGCAGGATTCAACAGGGGAGCCATCAGAACCCCGTATCTCTACAGAACCCACACTTAATGTGACGGTCGGAACCGGAGAGGAGGAGGAGGAGGAGGAGGAGCAGGAGGAGGAGGAGCAGGAGGTCTCTTGTAGCATGTAGCCTGCTAGCTAGCTGGCCAAAGCTAAAGTTACCTTCCGGTTACGTTGCTGAGCGACCGGTCCTCCGTGTTCTGCTCCTCTTACTGTTGTGAAAGCTGTTAAACATTTTAGATAAACGCAGTTTCAGTTTTGTGAAACCTTTTATTCGGTTTAGACCCGGTGTTCTGACGATATATGTTGCGTTATCGAAAATTCTACCGTATCGCAAATCGATAGCAGAGTCAATATAGTCGCTCTGCCCTATCAAATAATATTACCTACTAATACTATGTGTTCACTTTTCCACTCTCATAATGTTATAATTCTCACAGTATTATGACATCTTCTGTTTTTTTTTGATTATATATCAATTCAGGGGTAGCTGATTATGATCTGACTAATATCCCCAATATCAAATAATGCTCCCACTACAGAATAATTTTATATTATAATACGGGTAGCTCAAATTAAGCAATCTAATTGGTTCATAGTAGTGATAATGAGCGTATACACTGCGACATACAGGGTTCAATTTCTAAGCTTCGTGGGGGTCTCATGGCCCTTTTACACCTGGTATTATTTTTTTTATTAATACAAAATAATATAGATCCCATTTTACCGGGCGGAGATAAAATAAATAATGAGAGAGACAGAGAGAAGTTATTGCTTATTACGTGTTCAACATTTCCCTCTCTCACAAGATGAAAACACACACACAGCAGTCCACTATTTTGCCCCAAATGTCTGCGATATTGCAATAAAGTTTAAGTTTCAAAAGACTGTTGCTCAAGGAGCGACGCAATTCCAGCCTTTATGGTAGATCTAATATTAAATTATTATTTATGCACTTCTGGCCGCCGGCAAACAGGATCAAGAATATCATCATATGGCCAAGTTTTTTTTATTTTTTTACTGCAAATAAATAAATAGTTCTAATAATTCTAGCCTTTGATGTATGTTGCTTAGCAACCGTCATGCATTATGCAGCCTACCGGCAGCCTGGTGGGACTACTTTTTGTATTCATAAACAAATGTCTGTTGATAAAATAAAGTCAAATTGTAGTGCGTCGGTTAGCCTAGTTAAATTTTTTTTTGTTGATATTGTATATATTGACGATCAGCCACTGTCTTGACGGCATGCCCAAGAGCAAGGTTGCACAGATTTATGGGCGTGGAAACAAACCACACTTGTGGATGGATGGATAGCAGGTCCTGCGCATGTGCCTGACCCGCTATCCATCCATCCATCGTCAACCGCTTCTCCAATCCCAGCTGACATCAGGCGAGAGGTAGGGTACACCCTGGACAGGTCGCCAGTCCATCGCAGAGATAATATAATATAAAGTATAAAAATCTAAGAATATAATATTGATAATAAGTCAGAATTAAAGCTGCAAGCAGCGTTGGGCGGGCCCTCGCACTTGTAGCGCGTCCGGGTGTAAGCCGGCCGAGTTGCATATTCTGGAGCTCTGCCGGTGCGGCTGTGAATTTGCTACGCGGTTCCGACGCCACATGAAGGTGTTATGTCACTTCCTGTGTCCCCTAAATGGAGCTACATAGCACTTGCCGCTATGAATATAAATCGGTATTGGTGTGTAGATGTCTGCGGGGTGGGAGAGTTATCAAGCACGTAAAGTTTGGTTCAGATGTGAGCATGTACACTGAAGTTACAACAACTTCCTGTGTCATGGCGAAGAGTTGATCTTTGACGCCACGGACACGCCCATTGACGAAAACTCGCAAATAGCACAACTTTTCATCTTCAATGCCTTTAGAAGGCACAGCAGAAATTTGAAGTCGTTCGGACTAAATCCCTAGGAGGAGTTTGTTAAAGTACGAAGTGTGTAAATCATCCAAAAATGGCCGTAAAATTCAAAATGGCCGACTTCCTGTTGACTTTAGGGTATGGGTTCTTGAAGCTTTTTTGTGCGTCTTGATACGATACATGTCCCCAGAAAATTTCGTACATGTAGGTTGAACGTGAACGTTTGCGTAGCATGAGTTTTTGGATGTTGAGAGAGCGTGTTTGTATAGGAGTATATGATCATTGTACATCTGTGTATGTACAGCAAGTACAGTCTTTTTGTAGAGCCTCTCCAGGCGGCGTCATAAGGTCTTAAGCTGACGCAGTTTGGATGTGTATGGGTAAATGAGACAGTCTTTGTTTTTAGGGGCTAAAGTGTCCAGTGCATAAGATAAACCATCATTGTAGAAGTTGACACGCGAGAGTACAGCTGCAGAGGAAGTATCAACCTGGCATGCTACGCTGTACCGTGACTTGCTGTACAATGGCCTCTGGATTGACAGAACCTGACACTGCCGAAACTTTAGTGTTAAACAGGAAATATAATCACCTGCCAGATGTGAGACAACTATTTGCGTTGGTCTGTGAAATCGTCGGGCTATCCGCCACTTTGGAGGACAGACAAATGCACAACAGAAAGACACATGTAGCACGGTTGGCGTATTGTGGTGATTGGTGCACGGGCCTGCCTCGTGGACTATTATGGAGATGGGAACTAATATAATGACTCGTTAATTAGTGGTTGAACGTTGAGTTTTGTATTGAGTGCTTACCACTCTGTAGTAAAGTAAGTTCACCACACTTACTTTTACTTTTCTTGTCATCTGATGATATAATTATTTAATGCCATGGCTTGACTCTCAAATGATGTTTCTCTCAAATTATTAGAATTTGAAACTACTTCTCCCCCATTGCTCATAATATCATAAAATCGCTTTGCACTTGCACAAATTTCACCATGTGTCTTGAATATTTGCAGTGTGTGCCGCATAAGATCCCATCGTTGTTTGCTGGACGTCACACTGCCTCTTGCAGACAGGACAACTTTATGAACACTCCATGAGGCAGCTTTCAAAAACTACATTCTTAGTATCCCTGTAGGCAGACACTGGCTCAAACCTGACAAAACTGAGTAGTACATTTTTGCTTTCCTTCACTGAATTTTTTTTACCCTGATAACTCATAGTAACATGTAATATAAATATCGAAATGGCACAGATTCCTGAATTAGAACAGAGTCACCAGGATTAAATGTTGTCATGTGTAGGGATGGGTATCACTACTCAATACCTTTTATGGTGTCAACCGAAACAGCCCAGTATCGAGTAAAATCCAAAAGTCTCCAGTCAATCCAAAAGAAAGAGAAGAGCATGCCTTTTTTCCTGATGTGCCCGCACCAAAAACTGTAAAAAAAGACCTGCAGCGCAGAGTCCATGCATGATTTTAACATCTGCTCACCTTCGGCTGCGCGTCAGGTATGTTCTTCACTGTTGCAAGTTTATCACCACAAGCTTGGCTTTTCGTTGGTTTCATCTTCTGGTGTCATTTAAAACTTATCTGTACATTTTTATTTACTATTCAGATCACTTGTCACTGATCGATCGCTGATAAATCGTGCATGTTAGCCGTGTGTATCGTCACATCCCTAATCTGAACCCTTATGTCCACAGCACATTTCAACACAAATCTTTTGATTAATTTTATCTTATCAAAGTACAAACACACCACAAAAAGCTATAGTGTATTAAATATGACTGTATTACAATAAAATATTTTATTAAATTCATGTAACTTTGTAAATTTTCTCAGGCTTAAAATTCCTACAGCTTTTCCATTATACAGCTGTGAAGTTGGTATTAAATTTCATCCTTGGTGGTATTAAAACAAGTTTTAAATAGATAGGACTGCTGTTTAGTTAGCAGTCAGCATAACAGCATAGTTTCAACATGAACCGAAAATATTTTTACACATTTCATAATAACATTTCAGACCCCTACTGTTGTGTTTTGTGTGCCACTGCTGAAAGCTCGCACTCGTTGGTGAGAAGGCGATTAAGGTAGCCGTGCATATTCGGTTTCGGCTTTGGCCAAGAATTTTTATTTTGGTGTATCTCCAACAGTCATCACAGTACTATACTGTTGTAATTCAATGTTTGAACCTGGACTGTGTGCAAGACCTTTTTAAATGTGTAGAAGAAAAGGTATTATATTAAAATGGGGGTGGTGATGGCACATAGATAAGATGCTTGCCTTTGGTGTGGAGACCTGGGTTTGATTCCCACTGTGACCCATCCACCAATGTGCCTGAGCAAGACACTTAACCCCTAGTTGCTCCAGAGGTGTGTGAGCTCTGACATGTATAGCAATTGTAAGTCGCTTTGGATAAAAGCGTCAGCTAAATGAAATAAAATAAATACAAACCTCCGCCGTCCGCCACTGTAAGACTGTCATTTTGTGGAAAACACTGGCTCGCTCCACCATGACATCTCACTCCCTGTCTTTCTCTCTGTATGTCTTTTGCTGTAGAAACGAAGAGGAGGAGAGGGACTCAAACGTCAGCACTGTGACAAATCCTTTGCAAGATCTGAACATTTAAAGATTCGTGAGAGTGTTCACACTGGAGAGAAATACAGCTGTGACCAATGCGGGAAAGCCTTCATTCAATCATCTAAACTAACAATTCACCGACGTGTTCGCACTGAAGAGAAACCATACCGCTGCATCCAGTGTGGGAAAGCTTTCATAACATCTATACTAACAATTCACCGACTTGTTCAAAGTAGAGAGAAACCATATAGCTGTGACCAGTGTGGGAAAGCATTAACTTCATGGGGTCACCTACAAAGGCACCAACGTATTCACACTGGAGAGAAACCGTACAGCTGTGACCAGTGTGGGACAGCTTTCAGGAAATTTAGTGACCTAAAGGTCCACAGACGTGTTCACACTGGAGAGAAACCATATAGCTGTGACCAATGTGGGAAAGCGTACGCAACATCAGGCAACCTAAAAATACACCTACGTGGTCACAGAGGAGAAAAACCTTACAGCTGTGACCAATGTGGGGAAGCTTTCAACACATCGGGTCACCTACAAAGGCACCAACGTGTTCACGCTGGAGAAAAACCTTACCGGTGTGACCAGTGTGGGAAAGCTTTCACAACATTACACGAACTAAAAATACACCAACGTGTTCACACTGGAGAGAAACCGTACAGCTGTGACCAGTGTGATAAAGCTTTCACTTCATCTGGTCACCTACAAAGGCACCGACGTATTCACACTGGAGAGAAACCGTACAGCTGTGACCAGTGTAGGAAAGCTTTCACTACATCAAATCAACTAAAAATACATCAACGTGTTCACACTGGAGAGAGACCGTACAGCTGTGATCAGTGTGGGAAGGCTTTCACCTCATTAAGTGATTTGACAAAGCACAGACGTGTTCACACTGGAGAGAAACCGTACTGGTGTGAACAATGTGGGAAAATGTTTGCTCAGAGCAGTAGCCTTAAAGGCCACCAACGCACTCATGATGCTTAGTTTTGAACATATTTCAGGGCCAAGTGAGGTGTTTCCTCCTGCCTTCTTGATTCCTGATTAGGAATGCAGTGATTACCGGATTTCACTATTAACCGCGCTTTAAAACGTCAGGACTAATGTGTAAAGGCTACATCAAGTGTTTCTCTTGTGGGGAACAAAACTGTTGCGTGCTTATCAGAGACATGGAGGCTACTACTGTACACTGGTTAACTCTGGCGTAGGGACCAAACTGTGAAGCTTTATTTCCACCAAAGAAACAGCAGTTTTGGGGTTAAAAGATTGCTGCTAAAGTAGCGAATACCTACATCAAATTTGATGTAGCTCGCGCGCACACCGCTGTCAAATTAAAACATTTTTGCGCTGAATCCAGCTTCCACGCTGCGTAAATTCTTCTTTATGCAAGAACGTAGCCCTCTCAAAACCTTTAGTCCCTGAACATTCAACATTACATCCTGTTGCCTCCTCCTGTCTGTGCTGAGAAAATGTTGCCAGGGGTAAAACACTAACAAAACATTAGGAGCTTATGGACTTTCTGGACTTTCTGGACTATACCAATTAACTGCATTTCAGTTACTAATAACAAACACCGCATGAGTGATTTCATTTTCACTAAAACCTATACGATGATCATGAGAGTGGATGGCAATAACGGTTCAGTTTACTACCCTCCTTAATAACAATTTCCCCTGAGGATAAATGAAGTTAATATTCCTCTAATTAATTAAATATGAAATATAAACTTAAGTCATCACTGGTCTTTTAAAATTAAGTAATGCATAATATTCGTGAAACCTTGATTATACTATAATCGTACGAACAACATCTGTATTTATTGCTTCCCTAGTACTGATAGCTGTGTTGTAATAGTCTCAGCTTCTTTGCAAACTAAGGGATAGACAACAGGAACAGAGGTGTTTCTTTCAGATAGGTGATCTACAGAAACATTTCTCATATAATATCATCCCTGCTGTATCAGCACACATTGCAGGCATGATTTAGTCTTCCCTCCGCTTTTTTGTCTTTTTAATGTGCAAACCTTTTCACGTTTTTGTCCACATAATTACTGGTAAGATACAACATAAAATGAGAAAGATAAAATATATTTTAAATGTAAATGACAGTAAACATTTTGTTTAGAGGAAATGATTGTTTTGTACATTTTATAAAAGTATGGTAATAGACTTGCTTTAATTGATCAGTTCATTATTTATCAGTGAACCATCTCTTTATTCATGTGATCTAGTTTTATTCCACATCAAATGTTTGTTTTCTCCTGTAAGAAATATTTAAAACTGAGGGCATGCCTAGGACACTGAGAGGGGGAGCAGTGCAGACTAAAAACAGATGTTTTTGTCCACATAATTACTGGTAAAATACAACATAAAATGAGAAAGATAAAATATATTTTAAATGTAAATGACAGTAAACATTTTGTTTTGAGGAAATGGCTGTTAATGATTAGCTAACACAACAGAAACGCGCCATAAAAATTACTTTGTCAAATGAACACACCTCTTATAGATATGATATATAAACTAGCTAACATGGCGTCTAGAAAACTCAGGTGTCAGATGTGAAAGTCCTCCTTGATCTTTCTCCAGCCGTCCACTGAAACCTGCTCCGTGACCTTTGACCTCTTCAGAGTCGATGCTGTGAGTGGTTCAGGTCTGGTGTTCACAGGCAGACAGTAACCTTTCTGTCACATGTGATGCCATACACCTCTTCAGTCTTCCTACCAGCAGAGATCTGAAGGTGTTGGATGGTTTGTAACTTAAAGGCTCTGGATGTTGTGACAATCCCGCCATGTAAGGGAGTCCCACTGGGAAGTCCTGGTTTAAAGTTTGAGGATTGTCGTCACCCATCCAGTAATCCATCTACGACTCGACAACTGGAGAAAAATCAAGGAGATTCACCAGAGAGCCTCTGAGAACAGAGACAGAGGTTACCATCTCCACCTGAGAACATCCGCCTGTTATCATGAGACTGTGCTGGACTAGAGTCATGTGATGACGACTGAGGAGGTTCAGTTTGCTGAAGAAGGCCATGGGATGGGGTCAAAAGCTCCAACAAAGAGGTATTATGTAAGGCTTGAGTTTAGACTCATTTATTACAGATGTGTTCCCCAAAGTCAAGAATGAAGCTCCACGCTGGATGAAATATTGTTTCTGTGAGCTTCATGTTTTCTTGTTATTGTAGTGAAACATATTTAATCTTTATTTTATATCTGTATTCACTGTTTTTATTTTCTTTTGCTTATACTTTATTGTGTCAATACATTCATTTACTCATGTCCCTGTTTTTGTTTAGTATAGTATGGTACACAGTTGTATTTCCTGAAGTATTTGGTAGATGTGTCCAGTTGTGTTTTTGGGGTTTTGGCTCTGGTGAGTCTTTACCGTGCATCTCAAAAAGGGTGGAGGTCTCCAAGAGTTCTCATGTGGACTTTTTCTCTCAAATAGCTTCTCACTTGCAAATATCAATAGAAGTGATTACTATAGAGACCAAATCTATTAGCTGTATCTTCTGAAGAGTCCACTCTCTTCATTAAATTAAATCTTGTGGGGTCCTGAAACATCATCAAAATAGTTTGGAGTAAAATCTACTTCCCATGATGTTTCTCTTAAACAGGTCATTTCTTGTTTCTTTAGTTACTTTACATTTTTTCTCCAGATTTGAAATGTGTTAACTTATATAGAGTAGTTGTGTATTTTGATCTGTTGTTGTTTTCTGAATGTGGTTTTGAATCTGTTGAGGTTTGTTCAGACTGAAAGCAAAGCCAATTCTAGTCGAAACAAAGAGCCGCAGATTCATTAAAGCCGGCGCCAGCTGAGGTGAAGACGTGTCTGCTCAAGTCTGAGATGTTTCAGCTCAAATGAAAAATTCAGCTTTGCCTTTGACAAATGAACAGAGAGACAAGAAAAAACAGAAACTGGAGGAAAGAGACTAAAGAAGGGGAGTTTCTGCTGAGTTCTGAGATCAACGTCTGAAGGACTCGGTATGCTTCAAACTAATTAGATCCTAGATGCCTCTGGGTTTAACTGCTGTGGTTTGATCCAGTGAAGAGGAAGAGGCGCCGAATAAACGGGGACTACAAAACCACTACAGACCACATTTGTGTTCAGTCTGAACAAACCTTTGTTGTTGTGAAAGTCTGACTGAATCAAATATTATCGTGTCTTCATTATCTGACTCCATTTTAACAGCTGTTTGCTTTCTGTTCTGTCAGTAAATGTGTGCTTTCTGTTTAACTTGCATCCTGCCAGGGTTGGTGCTGTAATAATCTGAGCAGGAGACTTGAGACTCAAGTCTTTTCAATATTCTCATTAAATTAGTCGACTCAAAGAGAAGCTTTGACTCATCATTTGAAACTGGACGTTCAATGAACTGTTTCCACTCAACAATATTTTTTCTGTTATTGATTGAAGCACAGACCATTTACCTGTTTTACATTTGATGATGACCCCGCCGAGCCAGGCTGAGGGATTGGATGATGTTCATGATGACCTCATCACCGCTGTCACCACAGACCGTCACTTCCGATCTGATCAGAAATCAAAGAGAGAAAAGTTGTGTTTTCAAAGGAGCATGATGAAAGTGAAACGTCCTGTTTTGATCCTGCAGTCACAAACCTTTAACTTCTACTTCAGATTCTGATGTCGTCTGTGCAGCAGCACCAAAACAAGCGGTGGAAGCTGATTTAAAGGTGGAAAACCTCTTTATCGTCTTCTCACTCTCACATTCCTTATTAAATATCATGTTTTCTAATGAACTGCATCACTTGTGGAAAACAAAAGCCCACTCTTTGGCTCTGAGTCTGTTTGGGGTCAAAAGAAACCTCCAGACTTTCACTCAGTCCTTCAGAGTCTAACAGCTTCCAGAGGTTTTGTTGAAGAGTCAGACTGTGTTTGAGCGCCACCTGCTGCTCATTAAGCAGACAGACCAATAAAGATGAAGAATAAAGAGAACAGAGTGCTGCTGTTCCTCCATCTTCTGCTCTTTCCTTCATTGTTTTACTCTCTCTGGATGCTGCTGTGCTCTGACAGGAAATCACTGACGTTTAGTGGCTGAACGAGCAGCTTTGATTTGTTACTGAACTTTCTAATGTGTCTGTTAGCTCACATGTCTTTGTGTTTTGACACCAGGGAAGGAGGACATGGAGTACTAAGGGGCTGGTGAAGTGGAGAGGAGAGGTGAGGGAGGCAGGGGACCGGGGAAGGGAACGGTGTGGTGGCAGAAGACCAAAGATACGTTTCTGCAGCTCAAACTGACCTGATTGATAACTTTGGAGTTCTTTCACTCTTGTGATGTGGGGCTGTCTTGTGTGTCTTTCTTGTGCTTACATTCATTAGGTAAATTGTGAACACCTGTGGGCCCCAGTGTGTGCTGATTATTCAAGCCTGGCAGTAATGCATTGCCTCGCTCTCTTCTTTCCCCTTTCACGGATGTTCTGAGGCCATTTTGAGTTCTCCGTTGTTTTATTCCTACAGTTCACACAACACCGTACTTTCACTCGCTCACACCTTTTACTACTGATTTAACTGATTTACAGGCAACATGCTTTGTTTTATGTTTTATTTGAATTCAGTGATTATATTTTGTTAAAAATTATTTACTTTGTTATACTTTGAATGTGGTGTGTCTCCATATTTGTCACGGTCCAAGAGCCAGATCGTGACACTCTGCACATCAAACCACAACAGCAGCTTCCTCCGACTGGGGTGTGAAGCTGGTGGTTTCTCACTATAGTGTGCTCATCTTTGGCTGGTGGTTAAATGTGTGAAGTAGCTTTGTGGTCATCCAGCTTCCTGACAAATCCCCTCCAGTTATATTTGGTCTTTCTTCGTTTACATCAGCGGTGCTTGTAGAAATAAAACATTGGTCTAAATGCTGGTTCATCTCCAGATATATTGAATATACGGAATCCTTTTGTGATGCATGTATTTTTTTGCTTATCGGCCTCAAAATGTCAGAACTATTGAATGTGTAACTACACAGACGGGTGACAAATAAAAAGGATGTTAATACGGAGTCAGTCACCACTGTGAGTATCTGCTCCTCAGTTCCTCTCTGTCTCCAGCTCCTGATCCCTTGGTTAGGTTTTTCTTTGTTTCCTGTTTTATTTTGAAATACTCCCCTCTGCTTCACTTCCTGCCCTTGTGTGACTGTCTGCCCAGCCTTCACCCCTCTAGCCTCCAGACTTCTCTTCAGTCTGCATCTCAGCCTGGACTCCAGATGATCAGGCTCAGGTTTGTGGGCCTGCAGCCTTCCTGTCCCATGTGTCCAGCGTTCCAGCCTTTTCCCAGCATCACTGTTTAGCTTTTCTGGACCAGTGGCCTGCTGATTGGATTTGTTTACCTGTTGAACCGCCCTCCTCTGGTTTTGGCCTTTGCCTTCCCTCACATCCTGTAAATTTGTTGTAACTTTGATTTGTTCATTAAATCTGCATACTGCACCAGCTCTGTCTCTGAGTCTCCGTGTGGGTCGTCTTCCTGGTTACCATGGACATCGTTAGGCCTATTTTAGGGGGGTGAAGCTATCCCAACATGGTCCAAAGCCCCTCCAAATAATAATAAGAAAAATTTGACAGTGTAGACATGTACTCAACAAAGACAAATAAATACTATAGAATAATCAAAATGTAAATCGTACTTATTGGCTTAAAATAATCCTTCTGGTTGTTTCCTCTGCTTCACAATTTAAATCCCTACTGTGGTCGGGCACTAGGACCCTGAGGGAGGTCGCGTTTCATCGATGCTCTGCCGAGTTGCCGAGCAACATTACTACACACACACACAAACAGAGACACACAGACATGGTGAAGGAAGATTGGGTCAGCATAGTGAGTGATACAAAGTGAAACTGTAAGTTATTGTTAGTTACTTGCTGAACTTTAGCTGCGTTTACTTGAGGTAAAGGAAAACACTAGTGTTGATCATGTGATCGCATTAATATTCCCGATCTCTAGCTGCTCATCTCATCAGTCCCCACATAATGTTGTCAGTGAAAACCAAAGGTCACAGAGTCCCTGTTAATTGTTGTACATCCTTCCATTCATTGACCAGATGGATATGAAGATATTTTAGGAGAGAGAGAGAGAAGCAGGAGATTGGCAGGGCAGCTGATTCTGAGGTCAGTAGTGGTCTACACGTCAGCATAGCAGTAATAAATTCAATTCAATTTTAATTCAATTCAATTTTATTTATATAGCGCCAAATCACAACAACAGTTATCTCACAGCGCTTTTCATAAAAGAGCAGGTCTAGACCGTACTCTATGATGATATTTACAGAAGCCCAACAGTTCCCACCAAGAGCAAGCACTAGGCGACAGAGGCAAGGAAAAACTTCCTTTTAAGAGGCAGAAACCTCGAGCAGAACCATGGCTCACGGTGGGCGACCATCTGCCTCGACCGGTTGGGGTGAGAGAGAGAGAGAGAGAGAGAGTTAGCCTAAAATGTTACGTAGTTCAGGGTTATAACTTGTGATCCAAGAGACCCAAAAGCAGGACACAGATGAGGGAAATAATAGATAAATCAGATTTATTACAAAAAACCTAAATGTGAGGAGGAAACCACACAGGTAATGACGGGCAGTTAGAGTATTAGGTTGAATGGAATCCACAGCAGGCAGTACACTCATGAGGCACAAGCAAAAGCAGAGTCAAATCCAAGGCAAGCAACACAAAGAGCAACAAAACTAGTAGATACTACAATGATGGTCGTAGCGTAAGTACCATGTAGGAGAACGATTTGGTGGAAAGTTAGGTACAAATTGATTGTGGGATGAGTTAAAGGTGTGCACGTGATTTTCACCTAGTAAATAAAAAGTGCACACAAGTAAACTAAACTAATTCCAGTAATGCAAAACACTGCTGACCTGCAGACCACTGCTGACGGTCAGCAGTGGTCTGCAGGTCAGAGCCTAAACTACATTAATTCATGATATTTATTATGTCAGGCTCCTACCTCACTCAGTACACCACCCAGCTTCTGGTACAGGCCATGGTTATCTCTCGCCTTGGCTATTGCAATGCCCTCCTAGCAGCTCTTCCAGCTTGTGTGATGAAGCCCCTACAAATGGTTCAGAACGCAGCAGTGCGTCTGTTTTTTGATCAGCCCAAAAAGGACTCATATCACTCCATTACTCAGTGACCTTCTTTCCTGAGGTATTTACCACATTGATGCGATATGTGCAATTAGCATTTATTGCTGCTTTTATGTGTTGTCAGTTGTAGATCTCGTGGTGTATTTTATGC